TCTGTACCATGTGAGTGTCATGGTTTAGCACGAAACTATTTCAATGCAAATTGACATTAATATTTTCCCTTGAATCTCATTTGTTTAGGGAAACGTCGAGCAGTTTTTATTCATCCTAAAGATCAGTACCAACGCTGTGTTTTATCTGCTGAAGAGGAAGAAGCTTTGAGAGAGGTGTGTTCTCTGTGTTTTAATTTTTCTAATTAGTTCATCTATTCAATGAGTAATACATGGTTTTATATTTAAATTCTGCAGAAGAAGCTGCCTTACAATTCCAACTCTCTCAACTTCGGCGAATGCTATCCCAAGTCGCCTGTAAGAGAAGACATCATATTTTGAAACAGAAGGTTCATAGGAGGGGCTTACCTTTTGAACACCAAGGTTGTTGTTTGCTATATTTTGTAGCAAGTCTTACATATTAGACTATTCTGTATTGTTCACTCTTTATTTATTTCTTTATTAACTTATTTGTTTTGGTGTTGTTCATAGTTTGGGAGCCTCAGTTTAGATTTCTATTACAAAAGCAAAGTCGATTACTTCGACGTATTCATCTGCATAGAAAGAGACGTGGCTGAAGTTTCTTTCCTACAGAAGTCAATCAAAGTATGTGGATTCTAATGGGCACTGTTATACATGACATGGTGCATCTATATTTTGGATCAATTTTTGTACATTGGATATATGTTTTAGTGTTCTGGTCAACATATTTTGTTCCCTATTTTGGTCTTAGAACATATAATGTACCCATTTATGTCATGTATATAATTTAGTGATGTACGCTTCATGTGACCTTATGCAAATAGTAGATTGTTTTTAGATGTGTCAACGGCAAATTTGTGTGTTATGAACAAACTTTGGTGTTTCCTGAAATTTGAGTTATTCTTACTTAAAATGAGCAGTATACCAATCTATCTTTCCTTGGAAACATTTGTTTTAATAATTGTCTTTACTGTAGCGCGAGTACATGGGCTTGACAGTTTCTCAAACTCATTCAATTTATGAATTACTGTGACAAAAATTTATTAATATTACTTATCTATTTCACTAGGTCTTCCGTTGGTTGAATTTTTTGATATTGGTCCACCTTCATGTATGTGTCAACATTGTGGAGCAGTTATGTAGCGGTTCGAGAGTACTTTATCTACACGGAATGATGTGTTGCCTGCATTTTCTTTATGTTGCAAACATGGTAAAGTGAAATTGCCTCCCCGCAGAGATGTGCCCGAATTTCTTAAAACTCTACTTGAAGGGGATACACCATTAGCGCGTCACTTTCGTAGTAACATTAGATCCTATAATGGGGTTTTTTGCTTTATTTCTCTTGGAGGTAAAGTCAATCACTCTATTAATGACGGTCGTGGAGTTTATGTATATTCAATCGGTGGTCAGATTTATCATCGAATAGGATGTTTGGTTCCTGGTGATGGCGATAGTCCGAAATTTGCATAGCTTTACATTCACGATTCAGATAACGAGGTCCAAAATCGTATGGACTTTTACTCCACTGATCCTGCCAAGAATCCGTTGCGCCAGTGTATTGTTGAAGGCCTCCAACATATGTTTGATGTCAATAATATCCTGGTACGTACATTTCGTTCTGTGCGAGATATGATACAAAACTCTGGTGTCCAGGAGCTTCAACTGAAACTATTGACTAAGCGTGAAATTAATAGTAGAGAATATGATTTGCCCTCTGCGAATGAGATTGCAGCATTGATTGTAGATGAAACAGGAGAGCAATCATTTTCTCCAGATATAATTGTTCAACAGAAGGGTTCAGAAATGGAAAGGATTAGCGTATACCATCCAAGTCTGATGGCATTACAATATCCAATTTTATACCCATATGGCGAGGATGGGTGGCATCCCTGTATTAGCTATAGTCACAGTAGCTCTAATATCCGTGTTGGAGATAAAATGATAACGTAGTGTGATTTCTATGCATATCGTCTTCAAACCCGGCTCCAGGAGTCGAATTCTCTGTTATTATCTGCTAAATTGTTTCAACAATATATGGTGAATGAATTTGCGTTAATTGAGGCTGAACGCTTAGACTGGATGCGTACCCATCAGTCTAAGCTAAGAGGACACTACTACAAGGATTTGTTGAATTCTTATTTGCGAGGGGATAGTGATATCAAGCTTTCTGGGTAGCCAGTTATTTTAGCTGCCTCACACACTGGTAGTCCAAGATACAAGTATGAAAATTTTCAGGATGTGATGGTTATTTGCAAGTGGATTGGTTATCCTGATTTGTTTATAACATTCACTTGCAATTCTAACTGGCCAGAGATACAGTTAATGGTTGATTTGATTAGAAGGTACAGTGGCAAAGATCCTTACCGGGCTGACATCACCGCCAGAGTTTTCAAAATCAAGCTTGATGAGATTATGTTAGAGATTCGCGAGAAACAAATATTTGGGAAAATCAATGCATGTATGTGTGCTTATTTATTCGTTATTTATCTATTAATGTTCATCCATTACTCTCTTACCTCATTGAACTAATATTCCTTTTCCACTATTTGCATCTTGCTGTACAGATGTCAAAGCAATTGAATGACAAAAGCGGGGTCTCCCTCATGCACACATATTGCTTTTTTTGGCCTCGGAGAATAAATTCCATGGTCCTGCGGCTATTGATTCCATAATATGTGCTGAAATTCCGGATCATGATCTTGATCCTGAACTATATGCAGTTGTCACAAGTTCAATGATGCATGGCCCGTGTGGTACAGTACGTCCTAATAATGTGTGCATGAAGAATAGGACATGTAGTAAGCATTTCCCCAAGGAATACTCTTCTCAAACAACTATCGATGAAACTGGGTTTGCTAAATATCGTCGGCGGAACAATGGTAGAGTTTTCAAATGTGGCAGGGTTGATCTGGATAATCGATGGGTTGTACCCTACAATCGATATTTGTTACTACGATTTGGAGCGCATATCAATATTGAATATTGTAACAAGACAAGGTATGGCTGAAGTAAATCGTATTTATCTATATGACGTTGTTATTTCCTTTATTATATTACCAAACTCAGATTCTTAATGACAGGCTATATGTATATTTATATGGTACACTCATTATTAACTTTATGCATGCATATTAATTATGATTTAATTTCCAAAGATGAATAAAAACCAAAGCAATATTTGTGCGATTTCTCTTTTTATTTATTTATTTTATAAACCCAGTGTTATCTTATTGGTGTGACTTCTTCCCGCAACTCTGTAATTTTTGTAATATTTTTTGCTGTCTTTTCCTTCATTTTTTTTGCCCCTTGAATAAGCTATTGTGATCCCTTTGTTGCCTTTTGTTCTCTGTACTTTGGTTTCTTATTTAATACAAGTCACATTTAAGAGAAAATGTAATACACCTTTTTCCTACTTCCCTATCTAACATCTATAACTTGGTTTTATTTGATGTTTATATAGGGTTGTTAAATATTTGTTTAAGTACATCAACAAACCCGAGGATCGTGCAATGGTCACTGTAGCTGCACAACAAACAGGTTCGGCTATGGATGGTCAGAATCGTGGAACTACGATTGTGCAAATCGATGAGATAAAGGCATTCATGGATCCTCGTTACATCACATCGGGAGAAGCATGTTGGAGAATTTTTAGGTTTGATATATACTCTCACTCCCCAACAGTACTCCGTATGTCCTGTCATTTGCATGGGGAGAATACAGTGTATTTAAATGTTGATTCTAACGTGGAGGAAGCGGTTGAGTCTAGCAGTTCTCAAACCTCAATGTTGTTAGCATGGATGGATCTGAATCTTCAGTCAATGGATGCACGGAAATATACCTTTGCAGAGATGCCACAATATTATGTATGGAATAAAAAATACAAGAAGTGGCAGCAGCGCAAGAAAGGTACCTGCATTGCTAGATTATATTACTGCTACCCATCCGCAAAGGAGCGGTACTATTTGCGAATGCTATTGCATGTTGTTAGGGGTTGTTGTTCTTATGATGATATTAGAATAGTGAATGGGGTGGTATATGAGACATTCCAAAAAGCATGTTATGCTCGGGGACTGTTATCAGGAGATTCTGAATGGAATGATTGTGTACAAGAAGCTTCGCATTGGGCTTCTGGTTATAAACTTAGGAATTTTTTTGTCACAATTCTTATTCATTGTCAGGTGGCTGATATGACTTCTTTTTGGTTAAAGAATTGGGAATTACTAAGTGAAGGCATTTTGCATTCACGACGTAGAGAGCTGAATTTACCCTAGTTGAATTTGTTGGAGGATGAAATTAAGGAGTTGTGCCTTATTCATATTGACAAATTGATGGAGAGATTTTCGAAGTCATTAGCAGATTTCCCTGGGTTGCCTGTTCCCGATCAGTGTTTGCGTTCACATACGGTAAACAGGCTGATAGATATGGAGATGAATTATGGACCCGGTGACTTAGACAGTTCTGAGGATCCACATTGCAGACCGTTGAATGGAGAACAAAAAATCGCTTACGAAATGGTATTACATTCTGTTTATACCAATGAGGGTAAATGCTTTTTTGTTGATGGATTTGGGGGTACTGGTAAGACATTTCTGTGGCGAGCAATTTGTGAGCAATTAAGATTTGAGAAAAGGATAGTATTATGTGTTGCTTCATCTGGTATTGCTGCACTGCTCATGGTCGGTGGAAGAACTGCACATTCAAGATTTCACATTCCCATGGATTGTGATACAAAATCAACTTGCAATATTGAGCAAAGTTCTGAGGTAGCTGAATTGATTCTCAATGCTTGTCTTATTATCTGGGATGAGGCACCGATGGCTCATAAACACAACATAGAGGCCCTAGATAGGACATTGAGGGATATTTTCCGAGTTAAGCATGTTGATTCTGAGTTGAAGCCTTTTGGAGGTATGACTATTGTGTTTGGAGGTGATTTCTGACAGACGTTACCTATCATCACGAAGGGTACACGGACTGAAATTGTTAATTCTTCCATAAAGATATCTTATTTGTGGCGGTCTATGACAGTATTGAAGCTAACCGAGAACATGCGATTAAAATTGCCTCATTCGGAAGCATCAACAAGGTTAGCAATCTCAAATTTTAGCAAATGGCTTTTGGAAATTGGTGATGGTACAAATAGTAATATTTTTGGAGAATCAATTATCCCGATACCTCTACACATTTGTGTTCCCCGTCGCAGTGATCCAATTCCTGATATTGTTGCTGAAATATATGGTCAGTTACTCTCCACTGAAAATATGTCAACCTATTTGGTTGAGCGTGCTATCTTAGCCCCTCATAATGACACTGTTGCGGCGATTAACAATTATGTATTGGGTCTATTTCCTGGTGAAGAAGTTTCTTATTTTAGTTCGGATTCACTAGAGATTGATGCCAAGAATCAGCATGTTGAAGAAGGGGACTATACAGTTGAATTCTTGAACTCTTTAAAGATTGGGAATTTTCCCAAACATGAGTTGAAATTGAAGTTGGGGTGCCCTGTTATTCTACTTCGAAATCTTGATCAGAGTACTGGGCTTTGCAATGGAACTCGGATGATCGTTAAGAGATTAGGTAAGTGGTTTGTTGAGGTCCAAATTTTGACCGGGACACATGTTGGTGATACAGTTTTCTTACCACGCCTAAGTCTATCGGTCCACTACAAGAGCTTAAATTCCACTCTGGTTCGAAGGCAATATCCAATTGCACTATCATATGCAATGACAATTAACAAGAGTCAAGGTCAAACATTAAATCATGTTGGCATCTGCTTGCAAAGACAAGTATTTTCTCATGGACAGTTGTATGTTGCAATGTCTCGAGTTACGTCGGAAAGGGGACTCAAAATTCTTTGTTGTGACTCTCAAGGTAAACCGGTGAAGACTATGCAGAACATTGTGTTCACTGAGATTTTTGAGTAGTGGTTTATTGATGTATTATGTTTTATGCGATTTGAGGACTAAGACTGTCAAATTTATCGGGTCGTTACAATTTGAATCTTGAGTTCTCAATTTCTCCAAATTATTTTCCTGTTTTTAACAGCCAATTATATGAAATGTTGTACCTCAATTTACTCTACCGAATGGTATGCCAGTGTGACCGTTATATTGCAATACAAAGAGGACCTTCCACAGTCTCAACTGAACTAAACTAAATTAACTCCCCGACATATTTCATTCCCCTCCATTCAAAATAGAGGTGTGTTTTAGAATCTAAAGTTATTAACAAGCGTGTCTTACAAATGAGCTTGAAGCAATACAGACTTTTTTTATGGAATTGTAGAGAAAACATATTAAAATAAATAAATTAATAATCTCTATTAATCGAGAGACGTAAAGGACTTTGTTGCCTATATATGGTAAACATAGTCTAACCGTCAATTATGATAATTCGAGTGGTAAAAACAAATGATTTGTACCGGAAAAGTTAGTCGTAGGGTGTTCTACGCTGAATTGCGGTTTAACTCTGATTCAACTATTTCACACTATTAAAAACTGCATATCGATGGAATTTTTTTCCGGTCTGATTCTCGATACGATACGATTTTACAAACAATATTTAAAAACAAGAATCAATTCTGCCCATATAAGAGGGAGCTTTCAACAATGCTATGTGTGACCTCATCAAATTTGCCAAACGTAACGAACCCTAGAAATGGTACCGCTCTATAATTTCTCCATACGGATGCTTTTTACCTACTTTTTCTTTACCCACCTCAGTTCATGGTGCACCATGGCTCTCCTCAGCGTACATTAGCACATCCTGCCCAACTGGGGCAGGCGTTCGATCCAGTGCCCAATCCGGAGGAAAAGTCGGCTCTTCCTGTCACTTGGTGCTTCGTTCAATCCAGCTCCACAGGCCCACTATGGGCCCACACCACCAGCTCGCCCCGTTGACGTGGACGCTTGAGGAGTGCGGAACAGGTTCATACAACAAATAGCTGGGTGAGGGATCCGGGAAAAGGGTCACTTCCACCGAGGCCCACACTGCGACCAGACCCAATGCAAATCCCAACCTAGGATAATCCAACTCCAGCCCACCCAAGCTTTCTCCCTAAAACAACGTTCACATGGTCACGACCTCAACATAATCGCCATCGGGTGCGGCCCGCTACGGCAGTTGTGGGGAACTTCCAACGTTCCAAAAAATAGTTAGTGGCCATATATTTAAATCCAACATGGCTTTTGGCATTCTCATTCCTCTTTGAACCAAAATTCCATTATCAGTAGGAATTCTCACGTGACCAGTACTAAATCCTTTGTGTAAGCTATATAGCTCTCGGCTTAGCCTCTCCAGTGGTCCGAGCTGTGTTGGAATCGTCTGCATTTCATCCAATGGCAGCCGAGACTCTTCCAGTCATCCATGTATCTGACCCGACGCTTGTCCTTCACGTCCGGCTGCTGCGCTTGTGGGGAGAAATCTGCTCAACTAGTGATGCAATACAACAGATCAACCTGCTCATGCTTGATAATCAGGTGCATTGATTGTTGTTCTGTTTCAGTTGACAATATTCTCCTTGCCCTTCTCCTGACCTTGGTTTTTTTTTGTTCGTTTTGTAGGGTGTTGAGATTGAAGCCCTCATTCATCAGGCTGATGTTATGAGATTTCTGTCCAGCTTGTATGAAGGATGTATCTACAGTCTTACTTTCTTTGATGTACAATCGAACCCTGCCCTCCATCGAGTGTCTTTGAGCCCTCTCCAACTTGTCCTCCATGCTGGAACGATGTTAGAATTAATGGATGAGACAGCTGATATCCCGGACGTCAGCTTTCGGTTCTTGGTCCCCGCCGACTTTCCGTCTGCCCATATGAACCAGGAAATATTGTCGGGTTTGTGTTATGCACTTGAATTTTTTTTTTGTAGTCCTGGTTATGATCCAATGTGAATTATGTCTAATGATTGATTTTGTGTGTAGATTTGATAGGCATTGTAACCAGCTGTCAACCAAGCCAAATGTTGTACTCAAGCTTCCCGCTTCGAAACAAGCGGATTACTCTCGAACTCATTAGGTGAGGCTATGCTTGACGTTGTCAATTCCATTTTTAAAACTAATGTTTGTGCCTAGCTAAGGGATTGTATTTTTCCCCCATTAATATTAGAGGCGAGAAAGCAGATGTTTATTTTTGGGATTCAATGATACCTGCTTTCGAAGAAATCATTACTGATGTGACGACATTAGGAAAGGTTGTGGCCTTCACCTCCGTATACATTAATTATGAACAAGGTATGTATCTTTCCCTTACTACGTTGACGTAAATTTGTTGAATTCGATAATCTTTATGGGCTGAGTAGTTTTCATTGATTGACTACAAAAATTAAGTAATTTGTTATTAATTAAATATAATGTGGACACGCATGTGGTGCATTATATTTGGCTATCCTAATTACCCTTATATGTATTGACCATTGCATTAGGTTCCCGCGCATAAAGCAATTAGGTTAGGATGTCGATCTAATTTAAGTGACTAAACACAGTATCATTTGTTGTGTCTATGTTTGGTGATACCGACAAAATAGGAAAAAACAAAATATTCTGCAATGGAGAAGGACTAAATCTAAAATTATGTTAACCTGGACGTACAAGTGTAATCGACATATATGCAAGTATTTTAAATTTGGAATGGGTCCTATATATTTGCTTTCGACCAATGACCTTGATACCTTGTGCTATGGTGTGTAGGCCAATTTTCTTTTGCTGCATCACGTGCTACAAAGATGTATATTAACCTTCATTGTCCTTACGTCCATCCTTTGTTAGACAAGTAAGTCGTTTCACTTGAAAGCTTTATAAGATTGTATGGTCTGCTAACTTAATAAGATTGTTTGTGAACCAATTATGTCTATTTCAATTAGGCAAGTCCATCACCATGATATAGAGGATCAAGTATTTGCACACCTACCATACAACAAAGCTTTCAAGATATCTGAAGTTGATACGACGCATGAGCTCAATGTTCTGAAATATAACTATAATAATATGGTATTATATCCTTTCTTTTGTCTTTATTTTGTACACAATTGTTTCTATTAGTGTAGCACCTTTGTTCCCATTCCATATGATGATAGCTTTTTTGTTTTTCATAGGAAAAGGCCTATATACTTGCTGGAGAAGTTACGGACTTGACCCTTTCGTGGTCAAGTCAAACCAACTTGGATGTTCTGCACTTGACCATTAACGACACTACTGGTGAGATTTGTACCATGTTTCCCTGTACCCGTCTCAGATGGATTGCAGCAGAAGTGGTCGGCAGGGATGATACCTATTGGGACAACAACTTGAACAATATCATTGATTCCATCCAGGGAAAGACGTACAAGTTCTTGGTTCAATTAGGTCCATGGGACCATCTGCGTGATCATTGTGGTTTCATCTTGATGAAACTCTTTGGTGATTTAATTTGCTGAAAGTATCCCTCTTCCTATCCGTTGTCCTACTTTGCAATGGTTTCTTTAGGATTGTGTTTATCTTGTAGTGGGGAATTATTTTCAATCACTGTTTTATTTGTAATTGAGACATTATGTTCACTATGCCAAACTTTGATGCATAGAGTTACTATATTTGTCCTTGGCACAATTTTTTTATAGTATGACAAGTACCCTGCTATTAAACATAAAATTAGTTTAGTGGGTAAGTAAAACACCCGAACGTATTTTATAGATAATTTGCGTATGTTTCGAACCCGGATTACAAAATTACATAATATCATTTTCACCCCAGTTTATTGTGAGATGGTCACATCTCAGAATATATCATATTAAGTACTTAAATCGGTCTGAGCCAAGATTTCCAAATCGGTTTATACAGTGTGCCGCTTCATGCCAGTTAAAAAAAAATGTGAATTGGAGGGTTGGAGTACATTGGCCTGGCGATTCTCTTCAGCTGGCTCTTAACCCTGTGAGTTAAAATGAAATGATGAAGAGACAAGGGGAAAATAATTAGTGAGACTCTTCAGCAGGAGGCAAACAGTAACTTGATGTTTTTTATATAATTAAGAGAGGATTCTAACCTTGCTACAGTATCCGAAGATGAGCAGACGATGTTGATAGCACCAATTTTCTCGGAGTACAGGCTCAGAATTTTGCTGTATTACTGAGCAACAAAAATTTCCATGCCACGAGCAGCAAATAGTCTTACTGATTTGCGTGATTTTCTTGTCATTTACCTATAATAATTATTTTATAAATTAAGCTATATAAAATGATTTTATTTCGTTCAATAGTTACTCGAGAGTAATTAATTAATGATACTTTAAGCATTCAGTTTAATAAAATATAGTTAGGGAGGGTTTTGGGATTGCCGAGGCGGCCCTTGAACTCTAAATGGCCAAGCTGCTCTACCTTTTCGGCGGATTCTTCTCCACTCCCCCACGATGCCACGAATCCTTCTCCACTCCTCCACGAGGCCACGACCTCTAGAGCCTAGTAACCGAATTTTTTGCAACTTCTATGTGTTGAAGGCCACGTTTGCCGCAAGCCAACTCATTATATAAGGTAATCTCTGTCCAATTATCCCTATTCATTTCAACATCACCGCTGCACCATGACGCTGGTCTCCATTGCCGAACTTGCTACTGTCCAACAGCCCTTCGAACTCCAGTGTCGGGTTTCTAGGAAATGGACCGCCTACCATGCAAAGAAGGATACAGTCATTTCTTTGGATTTCATCCTCATAGATTCGGAGGTAATGTCATCTTTAACTCCTCTTCTACTAGGGATGGCAATTTTGCCCATACCCATGGGTATTTTACTATCCAACCCAATTGGGTTGGGTATGAAATCCAAATATATGGATATCGGTTAAGTTTGATGGGTTTGTACCCATACCCATTTACTTTGGGTTGGGTTGGGTTTATAACAAATGGATTTGGGTTTGTACCCATGCCCAAATACAAATTACAGTTTGGTACCTAAACTTAATAG